CTGGTGTTACGTATTTAAACGATGGAGGTTAGTAATTTGAATTCAATAGAATATGATAAAGCTTTATTGACTAGGACACAGGGGCATAGTTTTCTTTTTTTCTTAATGTTCTGAAAATATTCAGCAATGAACTAAGGGGATGACAGGGAGACCATTCTTTAAATTCCAGGCTCCAGCCTCTATATTTAAGACTAATATTAAGGTCTTAGGAAGTAGAAACTCCGAAATAAATTGAACCCAGGGAGCGGAGAATTAGAGAGAGGCAATTTTGCTTCAGATTTTTTTTTTTTTAAGAGCACACATATGCCAGTGCTTCCCTGAAAAGAGATGCACCCAGGGGAATAGGCTATTTCTTTACCCATCCTTTTCGCTGCCATTGACATGCTCAGTGGTGTGTGTGCAACTTCTCTCTATTCCCACTCCTGGCTCTGGATAAGGTAAGTAATAACTAAATGGCCAGAGTCACTTAATCTTACCCTCCCCTGATTATCCCAAATCCCTTGAATCCCTTCAGAGGGGCACTTGTTGGAACTGGTTCCTACAAGCCCAAGTGTGCAGCTGAGATTTTTCCCCTCCTCTGTCTTGTTCTCTCCCAGCCCCTGGCTGGTTTTGTTGCATGGCAACCCATCTGCCATGATAGCTGATGTCAGCTCATTTTCACTTAAACTTAGCCTAGGAGAGTTTTCAAGAGGATGTTTGGGCTTGTATAATACTGGAGAAGGTTCCAGTTTACATTACAAATCATTTATAAAACTACAGGCTGAATGGCTCAAGGAGGCTAAATGGAATTGCAGATGTCACGGGGGATTAGCTCCCGGAATAATGTGGCCTTAGGCTTTGTGTCTAGTTTCCAGGAGCTTCCTAAATAAGCCTCTGCAATATTCTCTCTGCTGCTAAATTCTTTCTGCATTTTAAACGGAATAAGAAGTGTCTAAAATTACCCTAACTCTTGGATACTAGCATTTAACCAAATACTTCATATTGGCTCTATAGAAAGAAGGGTAAGCATTTAAACTAGGCGCATAAGCAGCAGTTGGTAGAAAAGAATGTGTTTTATCACTGACAGTAGTGTTCTAGCATATATTCTAGCAGGTGAAAATAGATCAAAACTTCTTTAATCCAGCAGAGGGCAGAAGGGAGTTTTTAGCTATTTCTCACCAAGAACTACCCAAAGTTGTGACAATCCCAGGCAAAATTCAGTGACATTTTTTGTAGAAAAATCACCATTAGATTGCCAGTATATAAATGACTGATTGTGTACACAATCTGTGTTGGCATGCTCCGGACCAGTTTGCTCTTGTCTACAGCAAAAGGACAAAAAGAACTTTGTGAGCTGTTTATACCTAAGAGGAGGCAACGATGTATTCAAATAAAAAGCACTTTGTTTCAGACCTTATCTACTAACTGTAGCACAGCATCTCACTTTTTAAAAAAAGAAAATTATTATTTTATTTTGTTGTATTGGAGGTACATTGTGACATTTAGAAAAGTTTTTTGTAGTTGAATTCACCTCCTACATCATTTTCCTTTTTTATGTATATTTATGTCTCTTCAAATGCTAGAAGGAAAGAGAGCTTGAAATAATGGAGCATAAATTATTTCATTATCAAATGTACTCCTTTGAAAGCAACTGAGCCTATATGTGAGTCCATAAAATAATGAAAATGATTTCCACAACCTTCTTTGAAACCTGAGTAAAACTTTGGGTGGTATTTCTTACACTGTAAGGATGAGGTCAGTATTGAAACATGATGACAATTGAGAAATGGTTCTTGATGTTTATGATAACTTTCAAAGCTGATTGGTAAGTTTGGCTTTGAAAACCCACTTTAAGAAGAAAAATGAGTTTTCTTTGCCTTCTTTATAGTGGAGGTTGTGTTTGCTTGGACAGTATGTAGTATCTTAGCTTGGGTTCCTCAGGAAGCAACCACTAAGCTGGAGTTACATATATTTAAGGAACATGGAAAAGTTGAGTTTCCCTGCAGGCCCAGCATCTGCTGACCTTGCCAGGAACTCTTCTGAGTTCAAATGCCTCTTCATGGTATCCTGAATGGGGCACTTCCTTACAGATCAGGTACTGGATGTGTACCCCAATCCCTACCCCAACCATAGGGCATCACCTTGGTTAAGGCAGCTTTTTTGCAGCTGAGACAGTACTTAGGGATTTCACTACCAGCTGTTGGGACAAATTCTTTATTGGAGAGGCATCAAGATAGCACAGGTGGTGAGAAAAACAGCCCAAGTATTCAGGCATGCTAGGTTCTTTTTCTGATGAATTGTTGACTATGTCATGTTGTATAACTTATTGGGGGTTTTAAAAAGAAAGTGATAGCTTGCCACATTCCTATCTTTATGGAAGGAAATGATTCTAAATAAAATACTTTTTCATGGTTAATGTGGTGTGCAAAATAGGATTTTAAAGAATGAAAAGAAACACAGTTTTATAAATGATTGTTAAATTTTGAAATTTATGTTAGTTCATATAGGCTGTTGTACCAAGGTATCAAACACTAGGTGGCTTATAAACAACAGGAATTTATTTCTTACAGTTTTGGAGGCTGGGGAGCCCTAGATCAAGGGACCAACAGATTTTATATGGTGAGGGGCTGCTTCCTGGTTCAACAACAGCCATCTTCTCACTGTGTCCTCACATAGTGAAAGGAGTAAGGAAGCTCCCTGGGGTCCCTTTTATAAGAGACTAAGCTCATTCATAAAAGCTCCACCCTCACAATCTAATCCTCTACCAAATCCTACCTCCTAATACCATCACCTTGAAATTTAGGATCTCAACATGAAAATCTGGGGGGGGGGCGAGGTGCATAAACGCTCAGTCTGTAACCATAATGATGCTAAAGCACATGCCTCTGGTTTTCTTAGTCTGTTTTCAGTTGTTGATAGCACAATACCACAGACTGAGTAAGTGATAAAGAAACGGCTGTTTGGGCTTACAGTTCTGAAGGTTCAAAGTTGAGGGCTATGTCTGATGATGGCTTGTTAGCCAAGTGCTGGCATTGTGTGGTCACAGGCATCTCGAATGCATATCTCCTGTTGTCACTTTCTTTCTTCTGATAAAGCCACCAGTATTCAGGGCTCCACCCTGAAGATCTAATCCTAATTATCTCCTAAATGCCCCACCTCTGAACCCCAAAGTCATATTAAGTTTCTACCCTCTAAATACTTCACAGAGGAGATTAGACTGTGACATGAGTTTTGGGGCAATAAACTGTATTCAAGCCACAGCAACTGTTTACTTATTTGCTTTGAGATTTGTTCTGTGAACAGTGAAATGTGATTGCAGGGAATATTGGAATACTAGTTTGCAATAGTTCTTTGTGAACTTTTGGGAAAATCTGTTAAATTACAACGAGTGATGCTTATAGTTTGTTAATGATATATAAGTAAGCACATAATAAAAAAATAGGAAAGGTAAATTTGTATTTTTTGTGGAACAGTCATTTAAATCTAACCTTTATGCACTTATGTTAATTCTGTTTGTTCATTCTCTTATCATAGCTTCAGTTGTGTGCCAACACACAGACTGTTTACATGTGTAGTACACATTTGAGACATGGTTCTCAGCCTCAGAGGACTCACAGACTCATCAGAGTCACATTTGTCAATATCACCACCAATCTTGTCAGAGATGTATATAATTTGGGAAGATCTCAAGCACATGGTGCAGAATATGGGTTTTCTAAAGTTTATTTTATCTTGAAAGCTTCAATCTTATCATTGGCAATAAATGTCAGGTGTTTTCTTGAAACCAGACTTAACTTTGTTCAGTTTTAGAGAAAATGGATCCCAAATACCCAAATTTAGATAGCCATAATTTAAAAAATAGTTCTTTAACTTGACAGTGGTGCTCTTTGAACACAGCAGCTAATTTACCTCACAGTGGCAACTCAGTTACAGGAGAGCTTTTCCTGAAAACAGCTCCCAAGTTTCAGAATGAGAACTTCTGGTTACTTCCCATCTCATCACAGATGAGGAAGACGTAGTCTCTCTTGTTGCTCAGAGATTGAGATCTAATAAAATGAATCATTTTTCTTCATCGAGGATTTTCTTGAGGAAACTGGATTTTTTCCTTTTTTTTTCTACTGGGATTTGAACTCAGGGTTGTGAGTGCTTGGTAGGCAGGTGTTCTACGTGAAACTGGATTTTAATTTATTTATTCATGTGTTTGTGGTGCTGGGAAATAAACCAAGGGCCTTGCGCATGCTAGATAAGTGCTCAACCACGGAGCTACATCCCCATCCTTGGATTGCTGTGTCTTAATTGCTAGTGCATGGTAGTAGTAAAGAATCCTCTGCCTGATGTTTTGCACCACTGCCTCAACTAGTGCTAAGGCACTGGCAGTTATACCCTCCTGTTGCTTTTGTATGCTCCCAGAAGTTTGGACACAGCAAAAAGTTTGAATAAAGTGTTAGTGTTATTGTGAAAAGAGTCAGGACCTCATTGCCTGTTCAAAGTGTCTGCAGCCCACATTGAGAACTGCTTGTTCAGAGAAAAGCTTTAAGTGAGCAGGAGCCTTGGGGGGAGTGAGACTGTTTTAGCAGAAGTCAAAAAGGAGCTGACCTCATAGTCAGGCAGAACAGAGAACAGGAAAGGTGGTGAGAAGGTATACAGATATAATTTTACAGTAGAAAGGCAAAGGAGAGTTGAACTTTATTGGCACTTTCGGCCTGAGTGACTAAGTAGATGGCAATACAATTAATTGAGGCAGCGACTGGAGGAAGAGGAACCCTAGTTTAAACTGAAAATTATACTGCTTTTCACTGTAAATGAAAAAAAATGTATCATAATTCTTCCACATGGGAAAGGGTTGATTCTAGAACTGGTGAGAAAGAACAAAGTATTGTTAGCTGTGTGTGTGTGTGTGTGTGTGTGCAGTCTGAGATCTGGTTTGTACTGGTGGTGAATTTTGGCTCTTGGAAGGTCAGAGTATTCTATATTAAGGCATGAGACTCTTGTGTCTGTGCTTGCAATAATAGTGTTTTCTCTTTTTGTTTCTAGGAATGGTGCAAAAGCTGGACCAAAAACTTCCGGTGGCTAATGAGTACCTGTTGCTCTCTGGAGGAGTCCGGGAAGGTGTGGTGGACCTGGACTTAGATGAGCTGAACGTCTATGCCCGGGGCACTGACTATGACATGGACTTTACCCTTTTGGTGCCAGCCCTAAAGCTGCATGACCGTAATCAGCCTGTGACACTCGATATGCGCCACTCAGCCTTGTGCCACTCCTGGCTGAGCCTTCGGCTTTTTGATGAGGGGACAATCAGTAAATGGAAAGACTGCTGCACCATTGTAGACCACATCAGTGGCGCTACCAACTACTTCTTCTCCCCCACCAAAGTGGCCGACTGGTTCTATGACTCCATCAGCATTGTCCTATCAGAGATACAGAAGAAGCCCCAGCGAGGGATGCCAAAGGTGGAAAAAGTAGAAAAAAATGGGACCATCATCTCCATCATTCTGGGCGTGGGGAGCAGTCGCATGTTGTATGACATCGTCCCTGTTGTATCTTTCAAAGGTTGGCCTGCAGTGGCCCAAAGCTGGCTTATGGAGAACCATTTTTGGGATGGGAAAATTACCGAGGAAGAGGTCATCAGTGGGTTTTATTTGGTGCCTGCTTGCTCCTACAAGGGTAAGAAGGACAATGAATGGCGGCTCTCTTTTGCCAGGAGTGAGGTGCAATTGAAGAAGTGCATCTCTAGCAGTCTCATGCAGGCTTACCAGGCCTGCAAAGCCATCATCATTAAACTCCTGTCCCGGCCCAAGGCTATAAGTCCCTATCATCTGCGGAGCATGATGCTCTGGGCGTGCGACAGACTTCCTGCCAACTACTTGGCTCAAGAAGACTATGCAGCCCACTTTTTGCTGGGCCTCATTGATGACCTGCAGCACTGTCTGGTCAACAAGATGTGCCCCAATTATTTCATCCCTCAGTGCAACATGCTGGAGCACCTGTCGGAGGAGACGGTCATGCTCCATGCCCGAAAGCTCTCCTCTGTCCGCTCGGATCCGGCAGAACACTTGCGCACCGCCATCGAGCACGTCAAGGCAGCCAACCGACTGACGCTGGAGCTCCAGCGGCGAGGCAGCACCACCAGCATCCCCTCCCCGCAGTCTGACGGAGGGGACCCCAACCAGCCTGATGACCGACTGGCTAAAAAACTGCAGCAGCTAGTGACTGAGAATCCGGGGAAGTCCATCTCGGTCTTTATTAACCCTGATGATGTCACAAGGCCCCATTTCAGAATTGATGATAAATTTTTTTGAGTCTTTTGCTGACACACACCTCTCCCCCACCCTCTTCTAAAACCTCTCATAACATATAGTGTGGCTTGTGATTCTGTCCTGTTTTTTACATATCCAGTGTAGATTGGATTTGTTAAGAACAAATTTTATGTTTCCTGGTTCTGCAGGATGGTGCAGGCTCTGAAACAGTATCTTACTATTTCATATTCTGCCTCTGAATTTGCTGTTTACGTTTTGTAGTTATTGTTACATAGTTTTGTTTAATAATTTGTTAATGTTATTTTTAAGGAGAACTTGAGCCATAGATGAAAATGCCCACAAATCCTTTGCTTTTTTTCTGTTTCATACTTGGTGCAAATTTGTTAATGGGTCTTGGGAAACAAATCTCTTTCTGACACTTCAGAATTCCCTGTTTTTTGTTTTGTTTTTCTCTTTATTTTTCTATTAAGTCTTCACCACTATGGATATTTGAGAATCTGAACCTGGGAACTACTTGGCATGTTGGCTGGCTTTCTTTCTTCAGCCAGAGTACCTTCCCCCTTTTCCACCAAACAATGTAAACTTTGAAAGTAATAATGCCACAAATTGTGTTTTGGAGCAACTTCTTTGAATGTAATTGTTCTCAAATAAGCGAACATTGGATGGTTTGGAGAGTGCGTTTGATAGCTTTCCAAGCAGAATTAAGGTTTCCAAATGTTAGTTTTAGAGTGTGTAATTATTTGAAGCCTTATTTAAATCCTATAAAAGAACATACCATTATAATTGTTATTTGCACTAATGAATTCTTTGCCATTGTCAGTTGAAATGTGTGTTTCAGTATAAATTAACATCCACTCTTGAAATGCTGTCATATTTTCATTTAGCCCATTTCTCTCGGTCAATAGAATGATTCTTTGCATTTGTTTAGTTCTCCTTTGATTGTGGGGTCCTGTTTTGCCCTCTTTGATATTCCTAGTTCCTGTGTTACTCAGAGAAATTTTTAAAGCTTTATATCTGTTCATTGACTCTCTGTAAAGCTGGGGAAGATACATACTTGATTAAGTAGGAGTCTTTGTATTTATTTCTTTTTGGAATTCCAGAGGTAAAGTTTTTTTTTTTATTTGTTTTGTTTTGTTTTAATAAACTTCCTTTACTTCTCATGAGATTTTTGAGGAAAACAAGCAGGAAGAATTTATTATCCCCCAATTGAAGATACCAGATCTGTCCAAAAGCAGGAACCAGGAAGAATCTGTGGGTAGTGGCATTGGAATGGAGGTGTCATTTCTTCATGAATGAAATTTCTTGCCAGGTTTAGGTACTGCAAGGCATTGGCTCCCTATTTTGATATGGACTCATGGCAAACTGGTGTTCAAGGGGTCGGAGAGCCTGCTAATCTCCCAAAGGACATTCATGATTTTTACTATTGGAAAAGTCAAGCAACATACTGGTTTTGGTCTTGAATGTCCAAACTTATAGGTTGGATTTTGGCCATTGGAATTAGGCATATATGGTCTTGGGTATTTGCATGGGAATTAATGTAATGCTTATAAATGAAAATGAAATTATTCAGCAATCTTAAGTCAAATGCAAAGGTAATAATAAAAAAAAGAAACATACTGGCCTTGGAGTTTTGTTGTTTTGTTGTTACTGCTTTTGAGATTTTGTAATCTCAAAATTATTGTCCTATTAGTAATACTAACATTAATTTTCAGTAAATACAACCATGGTCATTCAGATCAGAAGTCCACATAGTGAGCATTTAGTATTCATTCATCCCTTTCTTCTGGTTTTCCTGCTAGTATGTGCTTATCCTTCAGATAATGTATGGCCTTCTTAGTAAATGATTTGCTTCCACCTCCAGATATGCCTCCTGATTGTAAAAGTCACTTGGCACAAACCATCATTTCTTTGACCACAAATATTAATGAGGGATTTAGGATGTCAGCAGCTCTAGTGTCACATGCACAGTGTTCTGGGTTAGAATGCTGGGGCAGAAGCAAATACATCCCCTGGCTATGGAGGTGGAAACATTTGGCTTTTATTGCTACTAATAACTATCACACAGTCATGACTAGAGTCAACCTTAGCATGAAGTTGACATTGGATGGTACTATGGAGAAATGGAAATAAAAGTTATAAGCTATCAGACCCCACCTGCACCCCAACTCTGAGGCCTCTTCTACTGGATTCTCTAGTCAGACTAATTAGTTTAGCTAATTTGGCTTTGGTTCAATTTGTAAAATTATTTTAAATTGGTCTACCAAACTATAAACCATTGTAGTGGATGTGTGTTTCTTCCTCCCAACCCCCCTGCCTGGGGATAGGTATTAAGGATACCCATGGATTTTATCTAAGAAGAGGTATATGCTATCTGATTTAATTAATTCCAAAACATAGCCTCTGTAAATAATAACTGCATTTGCCAAATTCTGTTGAAATTAATTTTACTTTGGCCATCGTGTTATAATTTACAGGTTAAACTTAATTTTTATATACTACAGATGTAGCAAGTATATTCAAACAGCTGTTGCTCTAAAGTCAAATATAAATTGCCATAAGTTGCTCAGAATTGGTGTATCAAATACAGCTAGCAATGTTTTCCATATTTTAAAGGTTATGTTTTCACATAAATTTTATTACAGACATAATAGCCAAGCACATAGATCGTTTTGTTATTTGGGGGTTTTGTTTGTTTCTTTTTGGCAGCACTGGTGCTTCAAATCAGGGACTCACACTTGCTAGGCAGGCACTCTACCATTTGAGCCACTTACCAGTTCTTTGTTTGGGTTGGGTATTTTCCAGATAGGGTCTTGTAAACTATTTGTCCTGGTGGCCTTGAACCGCAATCTTCCTGATGTCTGCCTCCTGAGTGACTAGGATTATAGGTATGAGCCACAGGTGCCTGGCTGATATTTTTGTTGTTTTTTTGTTTTTTATTATGTGCTATCAGGTAGCATAAACCTAAGATACTATTAGGTCAAGGGTGAGTAGAAATGAGATGTTAGTTTGATACCTTTCGTTTTCTAAAACTTAAATCATTGATTTACTTACCAATCTGTCCTTCTGAAGCCCAAAAGATTGGTTAAAATCACTTGTATTTTAACTACAATATAAAATATCTTAAGGTTGGAGTCATAATTTTAACATTATGTATGTATGTTTTTATTTTGTTTGCTATTTTGATTTAAGGGATTTACAAACTGTTACTACACAGGCTTTCAGTACTTTCATAGGACCTGGCTTCATCTATCTTGAGAGTAGACTGTTCTCTGCTCTATTCCTTTCTCTGCCCTCTGCTTTTCTCTTCTGAAATGGAGATCCAAAAATACAGTTACTGTGAAGAATAATCTGAGAAAATGAGAGGCAATTGGTATATGGCTAATTTACTTTTGGGAAGAAGTGTGAGAAAAGGGGAGGTGGCTTCTGGGGCTAATTTAAGAGCCCCTACTCACTTCTGCACCACTCCCTACACACACACACACACACACACACACTTTCCTGTCATCAATTGGAGGTTTCCTTGGAGTGACTTTTGTAACACTTCCTGAGAAAACTGGCCACAACTAGATATTGGTTGTTTTGGATCAGATTATTGACTTGCTGAGAAAAATTTCCTGACTTGGAATTCAGCATCCAGTGGGGCTGTTGGGAAGGAAAGGAGGAATGTGCTTATCAGCTGCTGCTGGACTCCTGGGTGATTCCTGCAGCAACAATACCTCTGTGAGGGTCTCTGGAGAAGGTACCTGCTATGGTTTTGGTGAGGTTTGTTTCTCAGGGTTCCATGTGCTCAAGGCCTGGTTCCCAATGTGATGGGACTGAGAGGTAGTGTGACCTTTAAGAGATGGGGCCTAGTGGGAGATAATTAGGTCACTAGGGGTGCTGCCCTTGGAAGGGACTAATGCTGGACAGAATGGCTTCTGGCAAAAGTGCATTGTTATAAAAAAACAAGACTGGCCCCGTCCCTGGCCTTTGGCTTCCTGTCTTCCATGTCATTTCTTCTCACATGTACTCCTGCCATGATGCCATTTGTCATATTGTGACAGCCAAGGGGACCCTCACTGAAGGCCAAACAGAGGAGGCTGCTAGATCTTAGATTTTCAGTCTCTAAAGCTGAGAACTAAATAAACATCTTTTCAAAATAAAGTACCCATTTTTTAGTATTATTGCTATATCAACAGAAAATAGACTATCATACCTGGACTTCTATCTCAATAAGCTCTCGCCAGAATCTCTTCCATTGAGGGCTTTTAATCTGGGTGTTTCACTTCCCATCTGGCCATTAGTAGGGGCCGAGGAAAGACTGACTTTTCACTCATCTTCTGATGAGGACAGCAAACTCTTTGTCATTAAATGGAGCTCTATTACTTACACTAACAAAAGAATAGGCATTACTCACTGCTCCTTTATTAATAACAGGCAAGTACAAATGTAGTTTTAAATGATTAAATTGATGTAATCAATGCTCCCCCTTGAATAAAATAGCTAATTTAAAAAATGTACTGCTTACACTATAATTTCTTCAATTGGCAAATAATTTATGATGTAAATATTTTTTAGTATTCACCAATGGGTAATTATTTACATGTCTAGAATTCTACCTTGTTGGTTGGAAAATATTTTTTAAAGAAAACAGGTTAAACAAGATTTAATAATTTAACTACAGTAGTTATGTTTATAGTATTATCTTGTTTGTAATACATTTGAAAGTAACATGTTTTATAAACCACCAATTCCTATATGTCACAAAATTTTTATATGATTTAGTGTGTCTAAATTTGAGTTGACAGTTTTTATCCACAGTTCAATCTCAGCAATCAGAGAGACTATGTGACTGGGTCTGTGTGCTTAAGAATAATCAAGAAATTTCAGAAGAGTCAAATATTAATCACCAAGTAAAAACACTATTGTTCCAAGATCTTTAAAAACACATTTAGCCTTAATATGAAATGGCAGCTCAGATGAGAATGTTTGGGCCATTTTCCCTCTTTCTAGAATGAATGGACTCTTCATGAGACTTTGGTAAGGGTGCAGTGCTATATTTGTCACTTGATGTGTTCTGTTCCCACAGTCACGGAGGATAAAGGAAGCTAAAAGTGAGTAAAGGAAAAAACTGGTTTCTTTGATTTTGCTTCCTTATTTATGAAATGTAGAATTGGAAGAGTTGTTCTTTTCCTCTCTGGCTTTTACAATCTAAGATTGCCTCTTTCTTCAAAACTATCAATTTTTGATCTATAAATTCATCAGTTACACACCTGAAGTATTCATTTTAACAGAACATCATTAAAATCTTTTTAAATTGCACCAACATATACAGTGGGCACAGCAAGCATTTATTGGATATCTGTTAATATAGGTCCTGTTTGAGTCTCTACATTCACAAGCCTATTTAAGAACCACAAAACTCTAAACACAGTAAGTGTAAACTTTAAGACTTACAAATTAGGTAACTTGTTCAAAGTTACAAAGGTAATTAAGTAGCAGGGCAGAGCCAGAGATAGATCCCATTTGCTTATTTCAAAGATTAAAAAATTTCTATTATGTCACCATACCTTTCTTATTGGAATCTATGCTTACTATTTAGAACAAATTTTATCGTCTGCATTCATAAAGGGCCTGCATTCAGATAACAGATAGTCCTTGAACAAACTTTCTCAGAGGTTTTTCAACAGCAGAATACATGTAACTTTGGAGAAAGGTAATCTTCTGTCACTGACAGATCCCGGCAGAGGAGAAATGACCATTTATGGGAAAGTCTCTGGTTAGGGTAGGGAAATGGTCCAAATAATCCTACCTCATTTTAATTCCTGAGCTCAATAAAAGAGTTAATAGAAAAAGTATTACTCTTAACAAAATATTGCTCTCTTTCAAGAGGTAAAGGGGAAGGTGTTTTTGAAAAAATTTTTTTAAAGTGTACATGAGGATCTTAGTTACGTTTAAGGATTAGCTACAAAACAAACGTAATGAACCACTTTAATTGATCTCTTAGGTGGTACTGATGTAAAAATGAAATGTATGCTAGTATGCAATTTGAAACAACTATCTGTTATTATGAAACAACCTCTTCCTTGTTCATGGGAATAAATAAATGCAAAGAAGCTTCCCATTTCACAAGATAAAATAAATTTGAGCACATCAAATACCTTGTAGTGATAGAAACTTCCATGATATTGACTGAAATTCCCCTAATAGCTCTGAAGAGTAATCTGCAAAGGAAGAACATCCTTTAGGTGGTGGAGAGATTGGACTGAGACAACCTGAGCACGATGGTGTGCAGAGACTCATGGCTGGGCCACCTGGATTCTAGCAGCTCTGCTATCAGCTACGCGTGTGACTTTGGGGAAATTTCCTCCCTTCTCTGGGACTAGTTCACTCTCATTTATAAATTGTGGGGTGAGATTTGTGACCTCTAAAGATCCCTCCATGAACAACTGTTGGCTGTGGAGGGAAAATAAACACTAGGACAGAAGGTGGATCTAAGGGAAGTCTGAATGATAACCTATGGCAAGTAAGTGAGGTTTGCAGACTTGGGCAAGGAGGGACTCTAGATGAACCCAGGTGAATGGAAGTGGCAAGCAGTCC